CGATGAGGTACAGCAACGCGTCTAAACTCGCATTTCCACCTTCGTCGGCGCCGTGCCCAAGAGGAGTACTCTGAAGTATTCTCCCCTTTTCCGATACAACCTCCTCTCCTCTCGCGTACGCTTGCCTGTTAACAACACGGCAGTCGGCTCGCAATCTCATCGTAACGCGACGCGACGCAACGCGAAGTGCAGCAGTACGCGGCGAATGAAAGAGGCGTACAGTCGTCGTGGTCGTCGTCGTCGTCGTCGTGGTGGTGGTTGTGGTCGTTGGGTCGCCGCCGCCGCCGTGCCGGTCCCGGTGATCGAGCGAGCGCAGCCAAGTGCATATTAGACGAGGCGGCCGCGAACGCCGCGCATTCGCCGGCGAGCGCTCGCTGAGAGTGGAGAGTGCTGCGAGTTGTACCGCGTGTTTTTACTCTCTCTCTCTCTCTCTCTCTCTCTCTCTCTTTTTTTCGCGTTTATTCTCACGTCAAGTGCCACGCTGTTCGGTGCGACCGCGTCCGAAATTCGCGATACTTCTCCAAGAAAATATACTTCGCGGGACTCTTTGGAGCTTATGCTCTTTGCGTGTTTCAATAATTACGCGATTTTCGCCGATTGTCATTTATCGAATTTGCCAAGTGCGGCGAGTTTCGACCGTCAAGTTGTGTGGACACGCGAGAGGGTATCGAGACGTGATCTTGAAATAATCGCGGAGTGGTGTTCAATGCATTGGGGAAGCATTTTTCAGCTTTCAGTGCCGTTTTCGGGTTTCTAAACATTTATCGCCGGGTTGACGTACCGGGTTGACGGTAGCGATACCGAGCTATGACCGGCGAGTCTTAATCGATTTTTGATTGCTGAATTCTAACTGCCACACTCCAATCGTAATTGTGCAAGTGTTAGGATATCAGGTAATTATTCTTCTTAGAAAGATTCATCAAGAGACTTCAGTTCGCCTTTGTCAGGGATTAAAGGTTATCACAATTGATCTCTAAAGTTAATTATAAAAGTTAATTTCCTTATTAACACGCGTAACCGTGACTTAATTAATATCGGATATGCCGGCGTGCGATTCGTTGAAATATCTTAGTGGAACGCTCGGCAAGTGGAGAAATGTATTATTTAATCCACGCGGGTCATCGGCCTTCCTAGATGCGATTAATGCGACTCGCGATCGCTGTTAATCGACAGAATTAATTTATACAGGAACCTCGCGTACGTTAATTGAAATCGCATGTGCGTATATTTCGACACGATTATCGATTCTTCCAGCGTTGATTAATTTTCACCGTGATTAATTTTCACCGATTAATTCTTAACCGATTGTTTGTGTGTGTGTTATTTTTGTTATATAATACAGAAAACTGATAGGTACAAAATATTTAGTTTGGGATTACAATTCTTGTCAATCGACGTTAAGGATTGATCGAATTTTAGAAAGATGCGCGAAAACAAAATCTTCGTACGGCATATCGCACAAGAATTCTCCGAAGAAAATTGATCTTATTAAATAAACAAGTGGCGCATCTGCGCATCTAGTATTTACTCGTCGTAGACTTGCTACGTGAGAAGAAACCGATACCTTGGTTTCCGATTACGCTCCTCTATCGCGAGCATCGAGTTGATTTCTCACTTCGTCGCAGACGATGAGCAGAAACATTTGCGATACATGCCGAAATTTAAGTAGGCAGATAAGGATAAAGATAAAGGATTTAATCAATGTGACTGCAAAATATGTTCGATCGAATCAATTATTACTCGAGACTATATTCTCGTTCATCATCATTTTGTTTAATAAATATAATTTTTCTCCACACATTTGACATTATTCGAGATATAACACAAGAGATTTTATTTAATTTGATTCAATATATTTAAAAATTACTTGATTCGATTTGGTTTATTTTAAAGGATGTGGAACGAGATTATTTTACAAAAGCAATTTAACATGAAAATTATTTTATAGTGGAGTGCATTTTTAAAATTTACTCGTGGCATGGCTACTTCTTATTGTATTATCGATGATTTCATATTTGTTGTTTCTTCGAAAACGCTGAATTAGTATTTGTTCAGGAATATACTATATCACGATTAATAAACATTTATATTGGTTGAACGTGTCATAATCACGTATTTTGGCGATTCGTTCTTACATTTATCCTCCGATTTTTGAATGAAAATATATTTATGATTCGTTCGCTCTTCCATTTTGATCGCGTTTTTATTATTATTAGTGTCCATGTGAGGGAAGTCTGTTATATAATGGATTTAAAATGAAAAATTTATTGTTAAATAGATAATTATAAAGTATATAGTTATGAAAAGTAGATTATGATTTTAAAAACGTTTGATCTGAATTGTGATTATATTTCATTCACATTTGATTTAATTTAGTACGTGTCTCAATTTACGGTCGTGCTTTGTTGTTCAACATTGTGATACGGTCGCATTATAAAAGAATTTCTCATGAATAATATTGTCGCAATGCGCCCTGAAAGATAATGAAGTTTAATACGTGATACGGGACGCGTTATCTAATCTAGGTATCATTTAAAGCGTAGTATAGGCGACAATCACAGAGACGAGTGACGACTTGCGAATTTCAGTGTGCAGAAAGTTGAGGCATTTTTTTGCGCGTGGTTTCATCACCTCACGTATCAGTTTTTCAATTCTTTTATTGATCAATCGCATTATGCGCCAATGTTTTACGGAGCAAATTTGCATTTTCGTATAATTCTATTGCTCAATGAATTAAAAAATTTACTTTATTCCTTCGTTACAACATTTGTCATATGTTTACGACTTCGTCATTGTGTTTTTCTATTAATATTTCCCTGCTGTATTGATTGCTTTCCCGTTGTGTTATTTGCTTGTTTATCGTATTAATTATTGGTCAGATATTTTATTTTAATTACGTAACGTAGAGTAACTTGTCTAGAAATTTCTTGCCATACCAACGGCATCGATTAGAAGTATCTCAATTGCAAAATCATTTGAGGAGTTATTTTTACAACAGTGTCCTTTCTTTGTGAGAGTTTTGCTTAACATATCACGTGGTCGAAGAAAAGAATCAAATACTTCTCAATATTTTGTGACGATCACAATCTTGCTCCGCGCGCGCGAAACGACTTTTTATTCAAAATTAAATCCGCCACTTCTTTCGATATGTTAAAATTAGCTTATGGTATTTAGTAAAAAAAAAAAAAAAAAAAAAAAAAAAGGGAAAACGGGGGATGAATACATCCCACTTTTCTCGTGGTCGTCGTCTGCCGTCGTCTTCACGCGCGAACGATAAGCGAGTGCGCGCGCGTATGCATCGGTATGCGTGCGTGCGTGCCTGTCCTTTTTTCGTAATCGCCGACGTGTCGGCGGCGCCAAGCTAGAAGACGCGGAGGAAGGCCGACGACCCGTTATAAATGGAACCAGAGAGACGGCATTTCTTGAATCGCTGCTTGTGTTGTTATTCGCAGCGCAGCGTCGGCCGCTGCGGGACGAGTGAGCGAACGAGCGAACCAGGCTGGTTCGGAAACCACCCTTGCTTTCGAAGGTGCGAAAAAGGAGGAGCCCGACTCCGCGTAAAGCTGAATCAAGTTATTGAGTTCGATGTTCAGTATAAGGATCGGAAAGGAAGGACGCAAGAATTTAAAGGAAATCGAAGAGGAAGCGCGAACTATCATCATATTTTTATACGATAAAGAGAAGCCAGAGTAAAATTAATTAGCAACGCTAATTAATGCATTGATACTTGATGAGAAAAAAAAATCAGGAAGAGAGTTGCGGATCAGTCGAAATCCTCGACTTATAAAACTAAATATTGCAAGCTGGCACTATTAGTGTTCAGCTTCGGATAAATAATAAGCAAAGGGAATGATTAATTTGATTAATGTATACAATTATTTATCAGTCGAAAAACAAAGTTTGAGCACAAAGATTTTTTGAGACAAAAATTGTTCGAGTGACTCAAAGTCTTATTGGTGGAGAGAGAAAAGGACGAGAGGAAAACAAACAAATCGCGTCACGTGAAATTTGTCATCTCCAAAGAGAAATCGTGATAAGATAACACAGCGGTCGTTGTTGCTAATAAATGTGCTCGGCGAGCGAGAGCATATTGTGATTTTTTGACGAAGGACGTGAGATGGTAATCATCACGGCTGTCATCTTGAAAAAGGAGCTCTATCGCGCTCGATTCGAAGCTCCGAAGTGAATCGCAAGAGTCGCGTGGCTGGAAAAGGAAGCTGCATTACTCAACACTCGGCTTTATCCCGCGCGAAGGAAGAATCGCGTTCGACATGCCAGGCGGGGATTCGTAATCGCGGTTACGCTCGTTTACCAGGTAGAAAACGACGCGTGGGACTAATGTCGGCTGCCTGTTCATCGATCGTGACGACGGTTTCCTCCGAGTCGCCGGGAATTAGTAAGGAAGGTTCTAATTAACGCTGCCATTAATAGCTCCGTATCTAAGCAGTGACGACTTCAGCTGATGATTAATAGATAACCGCCGATTAAATACCTGATCGATGCGAAGAACGAAAGCGAGAGGAGAAGAGTTCTCGCTGTTTTTCTTTTCTCGCGAAATAATATTCTTGTGCTTCAACACTGCGCCATAATTATCAATTCTCTATTCATTCTACATAATTCTTCTGAATAAAATTCGTTCGTTTCTTTTTTGCAATCTCTTTCTTTCTCTTTTAGGTGGAAACGAAAGAGAATGTAATGAAGTACACTAGAGATTAATTAACTATTGATGATTATATCGCTACGAAATTGAGCAATGATGACTCGAGCAGATGGATTGACCATACGTTACAATAATTAATTTCGTAAGAGTGTTACGAGTGTCGCGTGTGCTCGAGAAAGACATCAGCCCTTTTTGTGCGCGCGAGTGGATGTCAGTGTCCTGCCGAGGGCCAAGAATATGAATACGACGGTAAAGTGCAAAGTGATGTAATTGGTGCATTCGCTGCGGAGGCAATGTGTGATACGAAATCAGCCCGAATGACACTTAACTCACGTAGCTGATGACAAACGTAAACAGGATCAAGGTGGTCGTCCTCGGCGGCCCCAGAGTCGGTAAATCAGGTGAATCTTTTTTTCTGTCTTTTGATTTTGCTTTATTCTCTAATGTAAGAATAATTTTCATTTATTTTCATCAGCATACCATTATCCACATCACAAAATTCTAATAAAGAAACTACGATTAACTGAACTGAATTAATTTTGTATTATAAGCATAGTAAATTAATTCTAATTACTAACACACAATAGTTAACTCTTCGCCTGCAATCTGAGTTTTTTTTGTCCAGTTCAAGTTTGTTTACCTGTTTTTGGTTTGCAAATAATTAAGGATTACTTTTCAATATCTCTATTACATGCATAAGACTTCTTCACATTACTAACAAGAGATTTTTAGTGTCCTCTTTTATTTTTTTCAGAAAAATTTAAATGAAATTTCACTTGTGGGTGTGTGCTAAAAAAGACCTAGATTTCAAACGGAGGATTAATTTAGTTTGAAATTTATTTACTTGAGATTGCAAAAAGTTCTAATCAAATTACACACGATATCGCTTTGCCATTGTTTTATGATCTACGAAGAGAAGAATGGTTTCGCGCGTTGACCTTGCGATAAATCGAATTGCATTAAAACGGACAGCGGAAAATAGATTTGCGGAAGCAATGTTGATTTCCTATATATGAGAACGTGATGTGATTGGAACACATAGCGTCGAAATCGATATCCATTTGACGGCGAGTGATAAATGGCGAAAAAAGATGCGCAGGTCGATTATGGTGCAATGTCGTGAAATATTGAATCACGTCGGAAGGACGTTCATTATGATGGACGATACTAATATCGCGTCGTCGTGCAGCGTGTAATTTCTGCGCGTTGTCTAATAGCGCACCGACGCAACGCATTGAATGAAAGTGCCGTTAAGATGGATACGCATAGTCCGTGGAATAATACGTTGCATTAGTTAACCCGACAGTCGCGCGACGCATACAAAGCGAGCAAACGAACGGCCGATAAGGCGGTTCGCCGACCTCGGAATAAATCCTATTAATAACCTCTAGGACCGGCTACTTTAATAAAGGCGCGCTCTTCGTTTTATTCTGATCTCGTCCGATCGTACATGACTCTCCTCTTTGCTCACCGAAAGAAAAAAATTTGCATCTTCACATTATTAAGTTACTAGAATCAACCAATCATCCACAAACCATCTCATTGACTGCGTTCAGTAGAATGTTTATTTTGCAACTGCTGGAAGCAGTTCCTTTGTGTTGATAGAATTATACTTTTAGGCTGATATTCATATAGCCGGTTCTTATATTTTTAAAATTGTTTTAAATAATATTTCATGATGCTATCATACGGCTTTGTAATTGTTTCATGATATTGTCATTGATAATTCTATCTCAGTGATGAAAGCTTGCAACAGTTGCAAAATAAATATTTTGCTGGGCGCGGTTGTTGTTGGCATTATTTTTGAAATTGTATAATATTCTTTCTAATATTCTTGCGTTATTAATTATATATTGAATATTATTTTAAGATGTTGTCATATCTGATAATGTCGGATACCTGAAATTCTTTAAAATCGTGAGATTTTTGTATCTTTGATTAGCAAGTTGTGTTACCTGATGACATCGTGACTGTTCTTACTCTCGGAATATCACAAATTGTCGTCTTCTGTTGGAATTATTGCATTTTTTCGCCTCGAACATATTTATTTAATTGCGATCAAATGCTACTTCTGTATTTGTACGTTTCATTGTTATGCACGATCTTGATTGCTGTAAAACACGCGACAATGTCGTCTGTTCTACTTTTTGCGACAAAAACGGTGCATTCTCACGCGGCGGCGGCGGCGATGGGAAGAGGGATATCTCGACGGGAGCGAATCCTTAAAAGTCCCTTGTGGGACCCTGCTGGGTATAATAAGGACCTCCGTGGACGTTATCGGATATCATTCCACGTGATCGAAGGGGAAGGGGGTCTCCACGAAAAATCCTGCACGGTTGCAGCAGCAGGTTGTAAGATCTGGACATCCGATACATCCGTTCTGTTGCCTGCGGTATTCGATTTTGAATTCCAAATTTATGCGGTAACATTTCTTCCTCCGCATTATCGCACCTTCGCGCGACTGACATACGCGGTGATCCCGTGTACACGCAAAATAACCGTAACTCTTCTATAATAATGAATTTTTCGTTTGAAAATTTGAAATTTAGTTATCACATATTAATCTTGAAATGTCACGAGCACTTGTGTATACCACACTCAACCCAATTTGATTGTTTAAACCTTTATAAAAATAAACATGTAAACAATTTCTTTTTTAATTGAAACGCCAGATGTTAAGGAATATAATGGTGCCAAATGTATCTTTATTGATTTAAAGAAAAAGTTTTATTGAAAAAAAGTTAAGTAATGGAAAAAATACTGATATAAAACATTGGGATGATGAAAACCAGGTATACCGCAAAAAAGTATTTAAAAGTTAACTAAGTAATAAGAGCTCAATTCTCGCAAAAAGACGTATAGCATTTGAATTGGATATTTCCAAGTAAATTGCAGAATTCTTCAACGACAAGTAGATTTCGCAAAAACTGCTGACAGTGAGGAATCATGAAAAGAATTATGGTCACGCGAGAAATGTAAGATTGTTATCTACAGCCATTTATCTGCGTTAACGCTTATTGAAGAGGCAATTGGAGGTCCGCTATCCAAGCCCAGACGTGTTCATAAATTCATTTGGTCTAAACGACTTGCTTTATTGCCGTGTCACAAGAAAAGCGGATAGAATAGTAGCTCGTGGAAGTCGCGCTTCAACGGGTTTCTTTTCTGCGAGATCAATTTGAGACTTTTATTATCTTTTTGATATTTTAAATATAGAACTTTCTACATTATACGATCAAATTACAATTTTTCATTTTTTTTTCTTTTTTTTTTAGAAAAATCACATCTTGTTACTTTTTAAAGAATAAATAGAATTTTAAATAAATTCATTTTGTATTGTCTCATATAAAACTGTTATTGTACAAAATTGTGTTTGCAACGACTAAAAAAATTATGTATCAAAAATTTGTTGCTTTCTGTACTAAATATAAAATTAACACGCCAAGATGTGTCTGAGCGAAATTTGTTTCGATAAAAGATCATGTTCAATTAATGTTCGAGGTAAATTTCAACGAGACAAGAGGATGCGCTTGGTTGATCCACGCGCCGCACCATCCTGATTTTTTGTCTTCTGTCTCCATCTCATTTCCTCCACCTCCATCCCCTTCTCTCTTTCCCATTCATAGTGATCGTGGCCATAATTACTATTTTCTTACATCCACCAAGCGGCTTATCCTCTAACGATCTATCTATAGAATCCCGTGCTGGCAACCAACCATCGGACGTCGGCGAATGGCACCGCGAATGGTTGCATCTTCCACATTACAAACAATCCTCCGCAGGTGACTTAATCGGCTTCCCTCTTCTTATTCTTCTTCATTCTTTTCTTCCTACTCATTCTCCCCGTCTAGTTTTCATTTCCCCGTCTTTTTCGTCTTTTTTTTTTTCTTAATTTCAATTGTGATCACTTACGCTATCGATCAAAATATTACTCCTTTTTGGATATGTTGATGACTGAAGGTTTTTTTTAATCTCTCCATTCAATAATACTATTTAGTTGATCGATCTATTTTTTTTATTTTTTAACTTTATGTGTTGGAATATTTTTTATGGTTGTTATCTACAGCAATGTTTCTTATTCTGCTTAAGTTATTAGTTTTTTTTCTTATAGACGGCTGTGTTAGGTTCATCATTTGCTCAAGTTGATTCTACGTAAGATAATAAAGAATTTTATAAACGCTTTGTATCTGGCACGAGTGTCAGGTTTCCCTCGCGTTTAGATTTGAGTGCAGTGAAGAGCGTGCTTTCATCAGACCCGGGCGCTTGGCACAGATTACTCTCGGGACTATTAGGCGTTACGAGCAACATTCTCGTGTCCACATCAATTACTTCGGTTCGCGCGGCCTGTATAGGATTACGCGTGACGTCGCCTCAATTTCATGACAGTCATCTCCAAGGGAGAATGAGTCTTCACTCGATTACCGAGTTGCTTGGCACAATAATGATCCGCTGATGTCTTTGCATGATGACCGTTGAAAATACAGTTTTAAAAAATTTCTTATTTGTAAGTTATATATCATTTAAATGCAAAATGCTAATTCCTAGAGCAACGTGATTTCCGATTAATCTTTCATTGTATTAACAGTTTGGTTTTTGTGTATAATATAAAAACAGAGTGCGTGCATTTTTTTTCATATATAGATACCGTAGACGTATTTATCTATAGGATATCTAATTTTTTTAATATATTAAAATGTAATATAAAATACCTGTACAATCGATACGCTATATGTAATTATAATTTTTATAATTCTTTTAATAAATTAGAGTTTCTCTCTCTGAAAGGATCCTCTAGAGGGATCAGATCTCGCCGGTGCGATCCATCGACTTTCCGCAAGTGTATACGTTGAATCGGCGTTGAAATATCGTCGTCCAGCTGCACGGAAATATTTCGAAGATATGCACTCGTATCTCTCATCTCGGCAAATAGCTCACGAATGAAGTTCTATATTCTGTTCCTGCTCGTGTTTGTGGCTTTACCTCTCCTCTTCTATTTTTTCATTCGTGATATTTCCTCTTCTCTCTCTCGTCGTCGTCGTCGTCGTTGTTGTTGGACTGATAGTCGACGATAGATTTATAAACGGTGTATACCTACGAGTACAGAGCGGTATGAATACTCTGAATCTATGTACTCTATACTACAGTAAGTCTTGCGAGGTTTGAACGATGACAACGACGACGATGCCAGGAACGTCGTCAGTATGTTGAATCTTAAGCCGCCTTTCGCGCCGCAACGAAACGGAATTTATGATGCAAGAAATTTATCGGCAACCCACAAGAAAACTCGTTCCCCACGAATATTTATGGTTTCTTTATTAACAGTGAAAATAAGTTAATGGCGTTTCAACACTTGCGTATAGGCGCGCGTCCTTCTAGCTTATAGAGAACGAAAATATGTCTTCTTACATTATTACTTGTAATTACGATTCCACAGATGTAAGTTCCATCAGCCTCACTACAATTATTCGCGAGATCGTTTTTGAAGTTAATTAATTTCTTTTTTCTCTTTCTGTTGCAGCCGTGGTTGTGCGGTATTTGACGAGGAGATACATCGGCGAGTACAGCTCGACCAGTGGTAAGTGTTTCTTCATTATCCCTTTTTTTCTTCTCGAGATAATTGCCAATGCGAAGCGTGAATGATTGCGTTCATTCCTTGCTAATTTCGAGGCGTCATATTCTGGATAAATGTCCAGTTCATATCTAAGTTCCTTTCTCGCTTGCTATCGCGACTTATCTCTTGGGGGGCGGGAGAATATTCTTGATTCGCGCGCGGAGTGCTCACTCCGTAGTACAAAACGCGGATCTAAATCTCGATCGGTGCCTCTCGCGTGTGTGTGTTCCAGCGGGGGCTGCGACGGAAAAATCCACCGTGAAATATTCTCGCGCTCGAAACCGGACTCTAATTCAAGGGTACCAATGAAAAATCTTAATCATGGCGCCTCGCGAGCGACGTCCCGAGGGCATTCTAGCGATCACAGAAATACACGTGATAAGGGGATAGGGTAGCAGCGGGGTATAGAGGGAGAAAGGGACAGAGAAAGAGAAAGAAACGCAGCAACAGACACCGCTGGACCCGTGGAGGGCGGAGATTTAAAGACTCGATATGAAATAGAGCCTATGGGGAGGGTCTGCAGAATGCAGATCTCTCCCATAACTCATGCAGGCTACTTCGCCGTAATAATTGCCGTGCACGCCCGCGGACGTATAAGCTATGACGGCGAGTTTCGCGGATATCCGAGCCGCCTGGAAAAATTCACCGTGAAGTATTGTCCCCTTAACCCTGAACCGGCTGGTCGCTCGTATTTTTGTAACACCTCTATGGCTGAGCTGGCTGTACACCAGCGAGTACTTACCACGCCATTTTATCGCAATCCCGATAGCTGCAGGAACATTATCGTGAAGATAATCGATGTGCTTGAAGCAAATATAATTATGTAAAATACATAAATTTATATTTGATTAGAATAAATTGCAGATAAAACTGTCTGAATGAGATTTTATCCGTATTCGCAAGATTACGCATCCTTTTTGGAAATGAAAATTTTTTCTTTAACAACTTTTTCTACATTAACATAAAAAATACACTACTTTAGACATTTCAGTCTATACGTATCTTTTTCTTTTAACGTTTCGCACAGATATGTTTATGATCTATCTCTATGATGTTGGTCTATCTTTCTTTTAAATATTTAAATCGAACGATCAATTACTTTTGAGCTCGAGAAAATGTAGCATTTTGCTTGCTTGCTTGAGAACTTTATAAATAAAAGTTCCCGGATTTACAAGAAAACTTATAAATCAGTTTGCACACGCCAAGTTTCTCCTTACTTTCTGTACAAGTACATTAATGTACGGAAAGCTTCCTAGTACAATAGTGCAATCATCGATTTATCGAATTTCTCTCGTGCATAACTGGCACTCGGAATCAATCTTGATCCCAATCGATCTATAATGTTGCGATCGATAATATGCCGGTCGAGATTGGAAGGGTGCTGTCGCGAGTGCTCTCTCCTACCATCGGTATTAATTAATTTCCTGGGAAAATGATGGATAATCACTCTTGAATGTAACCAGGAAGCGGATAATCTATGTGTTCCTCCTCGATCAAAAAGGGGGATAATCGCTCAATGATGACGCTGTGGACGCTACGAAACTGATTGCTATATCCATCGAAGATCAATAAAAAAATGATAAGAATAATGATAGATAAAAAACTGCAACATAGGCATGTAAGAGGTTTGAAGATTTTATGCAAACATGCTTTGCATAAAATAATTTCCAAAAATGTATGTATGTATAGAAATATGAATGTATAGAATCGATTATCGGACAAAACTTAGTCGACTTTGTCAGAAAAATTATCTTTCCTTTTGTTAATTTTTTTTACATTCTGTTTGTTAACTGAAGAATTTTTTTTTTTTATGTTTTTTTTTTTTTTTTGAAGAAATTGGATAATTCAAGACGGCACTTAGAGTAATCATGTACAATAGCTCCGTCATTCTCTTTCTCTCTGTCTCATCTTTTTGTCTTCTTCTTCCCTTTCTGATTCTCTCTCTTTCGGTACATCTCGTGTGAAACGAATCGAAAATGCGTCGTCACTTCGTGCGGCTCGTGCGCGGGTTATCGCCACACTTTCATTCCCAATCGTTGGAGAATCACTTTTCCGAAGAAAACGCCCTCAAACGGTGAAAGCGGGGCCATTGATTTCCTTCAGCTGGTTGCGTAGGTGAACGAAACTTGAAAAAATTCTTTTAACGTATTAATAAATATTAATCTATTTTGTAAATATATAAAGGTAAATATAAAAAAATATGATCGATAAAAAGGGTTACTTTGAGAATTTTATTGTATTTTGCATGATAATTTAAGATGGATGATAATTATGTAGTTGGATAATAATTAATTACATTAAATAATATTAAAATTAATTTTCTTAAGAATTTAGAAGTAAATTGTAAGAAATAAATTTTTTAAATTTGAAAATATATTAGGATTATTAATGTAAAATAAATTTTAATAAAAATACGATATACATATATACATATAAAGGCAGAAGAATTCACAGAAATGTAAGAGTTTAAGGATCTAACTATTTCCGTTCTCTGAATTTCTCTCGAGCTTTATAAAAAATCTGTCTCTTCTTTTTCCTCATAAATTTAGGCATGTAAGCCATGGTAGCCATGATACTTTCGAAATAGCCACTTTATATTGGTTTCCACTGCACGACTTAAATTTGATCTCTCGACGGAAGATCGAGGATGATCTCTTTACCGGCAATTTCGATTACAAGGCATTCGTACACGAGCGCGGCGTCATCGTTTTACGGGACTCTGGGAGATAATCGGTCCTTTTCATCTCTCACCACGATGCAGTGTACTTGTTATTATTTTGATCTCGATTAACAATGCAAATCTCTCCTTGCGTGGAATAAATCCAGGCAATGATTTAGAAAGCGAGTCTCGTATTGCCGATTCTCTCGCGCGTGTGCGCGGATGGGGTCGTTTTGTCCGTGCACGGAGAAGATTACATCGTGCATCCCGTTTTTCTTCGATAGATCAACAATAGATCATGTACCGGAGACAGATGAGATCTCTGGCAAAAGCCAGCCGAATCTCCGCGCGATTGGTGACAGTTACATTTCCAGTTACGACGAAAGTGTGTCACGGCTAATTCCTTTTTTTTTTTTGTCAACTTATCGCTTTTATTGTATCTCTTGATACTTTCGATTTCTTAGAAATTAAATCTTGTACTTTTATCAAAGTTTCTCATCAAAGATTTAACTTTCCATAACGTCTGATATGCAAATTGTTCCTGTATTTAGATGGGACTACAATTAGATTTCTAGACACTTGCGCATACGTTCGCTTTATCTATGAAATAATTCCATTCGTTAAATTTTATTCTTCGATCTTATAACTCTAGTTATCTGCGTTTATCTAGATCGCTCGATTTCTTTCTATATACATATAAGCGTAGAAAGAATTTTCGCATTTTGTATGCAGAGTTCAAATTGCGTTTCTTGAAAGCTCTTTTTCCACACATCGATATTTTTCACGTACAGGAGGATGCAATGAATTTTCTGTCGCAACGCTTGATCAAATCGTTTCTCCATTAGCATTGTCCGACGATAAAACTGTCTCGAGCGTAACGACTGCTAATATAACGAACATCCTTATTTGCTTGTTCCTGCGCCTCTTCAACTCCACGCTATACCGATACTACGAAGTGTTTATAAGTTTATTTATCGCTTATTTATTGTGCTTACCCTATTAGGGCTACTGTGTTTGACGCGTACTTCCGCGTCTTCTCTTCTGCTTCTCGCACTTGAGTACTTCTCAAGCGCCTCTAACCAGCTTCGAGAGAAACATGAGCTTTCCTTTTTTTCTCCATTCTGCTGAAGGTGTAAATTTTACATTTAAAAAATCTAAGACAACAAATATTATTAAGATTCAAAAATTTTAATACTGAAATACGTAAAACTCTCAAAATAACAAGAAAACAATACAAGAAATTAAAAATCTAATGCTTTGAACGTCCAAGAACTTGTTAAATCAAAATTAATTATATGTACGTATAATAAATATGTACGAACATTCATAATTTTAAATATAAATATAATGAACGTTATGGGATTTTTTCTAAAATGATACGTACGAATAATTTGAGCGTGTAACGATATAAAAATTCATGATTTAATATGCGACTATCCGAATGTTTTTGATCACAAATTTTCAGCGAAAGCCACGTGTCATCGTCAATGATCGTAATGACATAGCAGCGAACGTAAGCGTAACTAATTGGAATTGTCGTTACTAACTGCTACGGCACTTTCGCGCATTAGCCGCGTTTTCTATCCTTGGGAAAATGTCGCTTTTCCAAAGAGATCGATGAGTATCATCCAAATGACGTCAATTAAGAAAAATGTTTGTTTATTTATCTCGCCAGTTATACACGATCTTAAAGCGATAATAATCGAACTAAACATTATTATAATTCGATTAAATATGTTAATTTCCACTTGTGTTGCAGATTTTCTCTACCGACACAGCGTCACTATCGATAATGTGACGACGGAGGTCGAGATACTTGACACATCTAGGTGCGAGGTAAGCTTCTATAATTATTATATGCGTATTAAATTCAATCAACCGATTAAAAGGATACATATATTAAATCCTAATATTTGTATTTATAATGCTATAACAGAATAATTTTAGAAGAATATTAATTATGTTGTTTGAAATCATGAAAAATGCGTTTTTTTTTACTACATTTACATGCGCAATTGTCTTTAATGATGAACTCGACAAATCAATTTACATCTTTGAATCACGTTCGATTGCGTGCACTTTTGTCGCGAGAATAATAATTAAATAATACATCGATACAATCCTATGCATTTGTATATATATATATATATATTTTTTTTTACGAATCTTTCATTCTGCAAGGAAGAAATCGTGCGCATTCAAAACGAATTTGCCCCGCGACGCGTCTCGAGACGAGGCAGGATCTTTCAAGGGTCCGGTCTAAATATATCTTCTTTCAACGGAGGCCTCGTATATAATATAGGGCTCCCGCAGACCTTAAGGCTCACATTCATCATACGCTGGCAAAATAACGAGTAACTCGCAAATCGCGAAGACGGTGTTCTTGCAGAGCAATTTTGAATACTCGACACGCATGTCCTTCCATTATCTGTAAGAATCAATTCGAGAATCAATTGTAGATATTCCAAATAAATTTTATTTTGCATCGTAAATACAAACGTTGAAGAAAGAATTACATAAAAATATGATATATCATATTTAACGCACCGGTTTCTAAAATATTCAGATTGATCTTTTATTTTATTTTGAAGTATATTTATCATTTCTCAGAATATATATAGCTCTTTGTAATATATAATGCTTTCTACTTTTTGATGTATACCGTAGAAACACATGTACTTTCCATACTTTCTCTGAAAAATGATACTTAACTGCGAGTCTTCTCGCAGACCGGCTCCAGGGCGATCGTCTCTCCCTGACCTTTCCTAACCCGATTCTTCTAGAACACAATAACAAACGTCGCGCTGAGGCGGAAATCCTGCGAGCTGGCCCGTTAGTCTGTTAGTGTATTTGAATTGAATAACGAACGTCTTTAAATTTGTGAATCTATAGACGACTGCGATTGCACGAACAACACGTGGCTACACCTGTCGCGGCCACAGAACTCGTTGGAATTCCAGCGTGGTTGCTTATAGTATCGAATAAGGCATTGTTCTTCTTTTCCACGAAATCATTGTTATTGGGCACAGATGTAAATACAACGCAAATTTTCATAATAATATATTGATCTTTCCAAGTTTTTTTATTTATCTTGTGTAAAGAATTTATGTTTTAAAAATTCACAGCCATAAAATTTTTTAACCGAAAAATTCCGAGACTGACACACCTCGTATTTTTTAGTCCTAATTGTTAAATCTCTTTAGCTCGTCTTGTTTTAAAAATCAAAGAGTGCTATTATCTGGAGATCTTTTGAAAATTTCTAATTTTTTTCAAGAATTCAAAGCTACAAAATTTTTTCAAACTGTAAGCCATTAAATAAATTGTTATGTTACTGAAACGATAGTTTTCTTGTAATTTGATAGTGGTGCCGAAGGTAGCTTTACGTAGTAAGTTGCAATTTTTGTTTTTACGGCTCCGGTTCCTTTTAACTGGCATTTAACTGTATCTTTCCCTCGATGAGCGGTGAGAAAGTTCATTCATAGAAAGTATTTCCTGCATAAGTTCAAGTATATTGCGACTCTCTGGCGCCTTTTCAACATGGCAGAATGACTGCGTGCGTTTATTACGTTAGAGTTAAACATGAAACGTCATACTAAAGAATAGATTTTTAACGTTAAATAACATTACTGCCGTAGTCTCATTAATTTATATTTAGTTGTCATCGGAGAGACATAGAAACAATAAAAATGTTAAGAAGGTGTATCTTTCTTCCTAATGACGTGCATAAAATTGATTTAAAGCGATATAATTATTCTAATATTATATAACGTTTCTTATTTAATTCAAAATATCTTGGAATGTATTTGAGACTTTCTCTTCACAGTGGTGAGACGTATAATTTCCGTTGGATGGAGATTTTAAGAGACATTTTAAAACGGATTTCCAAAAGCTCCGCTTCTCACGTACTCTTCACACGCACATTACCACACCGACACCCGTTGGTTATTCGGTAGCCCCGCAACGAGACTCGATCAGGCCCGGGTTGTTTTTAGCAAACTGGTTTTTCTACCCGGGGCTTACAATTACTGGCTTCCTTTTTTGCGCTGGTCTCTGAATGTTTGCACCTGTCGCTTAAAAGACCGCGAACCGTGATCAATCGTGATCCGCAGAATAGCAGGCTAGACGTGATTCTTCGTCTCATATTGAACAACTGATATATTCTTCGTTTCCTATAGAACAAATTATCGAATTTCTCTGATTCTAAACTTTTCAATTTTTTCATTCAAGACATTGTATCTTTTAAGTTTATGGGCAATTTTACAGATTTTTATATTGATGAATATTTTTTTAATTTTGTTTTTTTAAAATCATTTTTTGAGTGTTTTTTAGTATTATTTTTCTCCCAATTTTTTTTTTCGCGCCTCAAGCTTTATGTTTTATCCGTGATAACTTTGATATTTAAATTATCTCTTTTAGAGATACCGAGTGCACAGAATAACACTAACTACACGATTCGCTAGCAAACAATGCTTGTCCATTTAGAGAACCTTGTACGCGGAACGCGTAAAGATGCATGCACCGTTAGCTTGTGGATACAATAAATAATCTGGAACAGGAAGCGATACTGGCGATTTGTATATGTACGCGCATAAAATTGTATTTTAAATGCTTTTTCGTCTGCTAACATTGTTAGATTCTTAAAAAATATTTCGACAAAAATTTTGTATTTAAATGTAAGAATTTTTTTGTAATATTAACTCTATATTTTGCGTATTTTTTATAAAAATTTTTTACTGATTTTTGTAATGTACAAATGGATAATTAATGTGATTTTTGTTTTTCAAATTTTTCGGTTTTAGATTGTTTTGTGATTTTTGTAAGGTTGTTGTATTTATACAATTTGAGTTTTTGCTGAACTCGATATTTGAAGTGAATAGAAATATTTCGAATTCAGTTAGTTTAAAACCTAAGGAATGCTGTTGGGGAACAGGATCTAGGAAGATCGGTATCGATGTGGATCAGTGTGGCAGTGGTGCAGGAAGTCGATTCCGTAGCGAAGAAGAAGCGGGGATCATTAAATACACCATCAGCGGACAGTTCTCTAACACTCCTCTGCATCAGACCAATATATCACGTTCAACGCGTGAGGTCCCATTGTGAATGAGACTTTTAAATCGGTCCCCTTTACTCTCAGCAAATCTCCGCGGAACCACTGCGTGTGCCAGGATCAATCAATCCTGGACAACGCGCTGTTTATCACGACTGCAACATTTACGAGCAACGTATCGTTTTCATCTCGGCATTTTTGTTATCAGGTTGCGTTGACTATAACTCACGTTCAACTTCAGTAAATCCGAAAGCTGTCGACTGTTGTGTGATTAAAACTTTTTACATTGGAATATGATTATACGGACGTTTACCTGCACGTTCTATGCATCTAAATTTCAATCTCCTCTAGTTAAATGTCAATTTTTTAATTCTTGCATTTTTCAAGTTTCGTAACTTTACGTTCAGACTTCCAGTCAAGCTTTCTTCAGATCTTATATTTTCACATTTTTCGATTTGATCTTAGAATGCTTGATATATAGAAATACTGATTATGCTACAGTTTCTAAAAATTTAGCTAAATACAGATTTAAAAATAATTTTGATGAAAATCATTTCTATGTGGGAAACTTTCGAGTTTCGCATGATAAGTAATAATGCTACAAAAAATGTAAAAAAGTTTTATATTTTAGCATTCAGTTTTGATAAAATTATTTTCAGGTCTGTATGTATCTTTAAATAATTTAGTAAAACTGTTTTTTAAGATATGTATTCGTGAAAATTCTTAGTATGTTTTGGCATTGCCAAACTCGCGTACGTTTAAATTGCTCTTAAATTATCGAAGAACCGGGCTCTCATGTTACTCGTAAGAGGAGCTCGGATACTGACTATCTCTATATCTGAAAATCGTGCAACGGGTATTAGAACAAACAGCCGATAATTCGTTGTAAAGCCAAGACTTGGGCCGCACCAGTAAAATACATAACGCATTCGTGGTGTAATCTTTCCAATTATCTCAGCATTCCTCTCACTTTTGTGATATCTAACTGCGATATTATACGCCCCGTGTATTTAATACCACAAGGGGAATTAGCGTAAATTTGCAGGCTCATCTTATATTTCGCGATATGACACGCTGGATGTTATCGCTGTTTCGTCTTTGAATATATTGTAGATCATCGCAATTATTATTTTGTTTTTTTATAATTAGAGCGAATATATTGGTAACAAATATTTTGTAGAATTATCAAATTTCTTTCAATCTTATTACTGATAAAAAATAATGTTAAATATGTGTGTATTAAAATTTAATAATTATTTTTTTTGTTAATAATGATTCTCTTTATCCTTTTCTGATACGTTAATAAGTATTGTAAGTCATTTAACATTTTTATTTCTTACAAACTTACTATCTACCGCACTATAATATACATAAATAAATTCGATTCATTGTAGCTCTAATGAATTATAATTTAGCGTGAACCGCGTGTATCTTTTTCCGCAGAAAAATTTCTCTCCTCGATGATAACTAATCACATTGCGCCAGACGTTACGAGGATGCCGCGGCTTAAAGGGCACATAAGCCTCGCACCTAAACGCGCTCTAATCTACGGAATTATCTGTTTCCGACATTCCTAAGTAACGTGCATCCCTGATATTCCGATACGTGCGACCCGACGATACCGCGGGTGCGATCTACCGGCACTTAAAGTGCACGAACCCATTGAGCGCACGTGGTCAATGTCCGCGTTGTGCTCGCATTTTTTTGGCTAGAACGCTCGAGTAGCGGATACCGATCCCCCAATCGCCGTTAAGATACGCCTGTAAATCGACCGACCAGGACGATTCAC